TCTCCGAAATGGCTGGACTGATTTTGACGGGACTTCACACACAGATAGCTGATATTACATACATACATAAACACTCACGCCTGTCACCCAGAGGGGTAGGCAGAAACTACGGACTTCCATTTGGCCCGATCCTGACATACCTCTTTCGCCTCCTTTACATCCATATATCTACGCATACATGCTCGTCGGTTAAGGGTACTTCTAACGTGGCCCATTTTCAAAATATCGCCAATTTGGTCGACAAACTTTTTTCTAGGGCGTCCCTTCCCGACTCGGCCGTTCACATCTGCCATATAAATTTGCTTTTTCACTCTTTCATCATTCATTCTTTCTACGTGACCAAACCACCGAAGCATTCCTTTCTTAATCCTGGTCACAACATCATCTTGCATACCACATTTATCTCTTATCACGCAATTTCTCACCCCGTCATTCAGATTAAACCCTAGCATATTTCTTAAAGAACGCATTTCTACAGCATTTATTCTACTTTCGTGCTTCTTCTGCCACACCCAGCTTTCACTACCATACATTAACGTAGGGACTAACACAGCATTATGAATTACCATACGTGCCTGTTTTGACACATTCTGGTTCTTCATAATAGAGTGTAGTGCCCCATTCACTCTATTCCCTGCATTTACTCGTCGTTCTATATCCCTATCATATCTACCATCCCTGCTAAATACACATCCCAAATACACAAACTTATCCACTTGCTCAATTAACTCTCCTTCTATTCTTATTTCACATACCGTTTTGCTTTCTTCTCTTTCAAAAACCATCACTTTCGTCTTACTTGCGTTCACTTTCATTCCCCTTTCTTTTAATTCCCAGTTCATTAATGTAACCATCATTTGCAACTCAGCCGCTGATGACGCAAATATGACTTGATCATCGGCATACAAAAGGCATTTGACGGTTAACTCGCCCATTCTTAAACCACATTCTTCATCTTTCAAAGTTTGCAAACACCGGTCCATAAATAGGTTGAACAGCCAAGGGGAAGCTACACAGCCCTGTCTGACACCTTTTTGGATGCCAAACCAGTCCGAGTAGACCCCATTGATCCTGACACAAGCACTAGAGTCCCTATAAAGAGACCCCAATGCCTGTATCAAACCGGCGCTCAACCCATATGAGTTCAGTGTTTGCCATAACACATTCCTGTCCACTCTGTCATAAGCCTTTTCCAAGTCCATGAACGCACAAAAAACTTTCTGGTTTTTGGCCAAAAACTTCTCCGCAATCATGCGCATGGAAAAGACTTGATCTGTGCACCCCATTCCCTTTCTAAAACCCGCTTGCACATCCCAAATTTTTCCATCAGTTTCTTTCATAACTCTTTCAATTAACACCTTAGCATACAGTTTACCCACAATACTAAGCAAGCTGATACCGCGGTAGTTTTTGCAGTCCTGCTGTGACCCTTTTCCTTTATATATTGGTACTATAACTGCTTTACACCAGTCATCCGGTACCCGTTTTAATTCCCAACATAAATTAAACAAGGTGTACAGCAGGCCTGCCACCACTCCCTCTCCAGCCCTTAGCATCTCGAGTGGTACTCTATCATATCCAGCTGCCTTACCTGCTTTCATGCTTTTCATTGCTTTCATTATTTCATCTACACTTATCTCCATACCCCTTTCCACTTCTTTCGGAATTTCTAGTTCATTTAATTCATACGACTCTTCACTCATAAACACGCTTTCAAAGTATTCCTTCCATCTGTTTAAATTCGAAACTTCATCATTCAGAATACATCCATTCTCGTCTCTTATAGCATTTATTATAGGCTGTTTTGTATTTCCCCTGGCAGTTCTTACGAGTTTCCAGAACATTTTTATGTTAGCCTGGAAATTATCAGATATCCTTCTATCATTCTTATCCATTCTTTCTTTCTTTTTCCTTTCAACAACTTCTTTTACTCTCCTATTTAGACGTCTAAATTCTGCCTTTTTTCTTTCAATCTCATCATTCATACCAGAAGAATTACCAGCTTTGGTTTCTAGTAAATCTAACCATGCTTTCTTCTTTGATTCAACTTCCACCCGTACCTCATCATCCCACCACAACGTATTACTTTTCCTTTCATTTGTTCTTTTACTTACACCACATACTTCGGTGGCGGTATCCACCAAACCTTTCTTAATATTATCCCACACAGTCTTCAAGTCTAAATCATTCATACACAACTCATTCAAACATCTAATATTTTCTCTCAGTCTACATTTATACTTCTCTTTCACATCTTCATCTTGTAACTTCTCTATTCTTATACGCTGTAACGCAGTGGTAGACACAGATGTCCGATACCGCCAACGCTTGAAAAGACCATTAATTCGACATAAGACCAAGTAATGATCCGTCCCTACGTTGGACCCCCGGTAAACCCTTGTATCTACGACTGCGCTCCTCATTCTTTCATCCACAATTACGAAATCTATCATGCTTCTATCATCACCTCTTTCCCATGTATACATGTGAATCTTCTTATGACGAAAAAAAGTATTCGTCACAAAAAGATTCTTTTTCCGCACATACGGTGAGGAGGTCTTCACCATTCTCATTTATACTTTCATCACCAAACGTTCCCAATATCCTTTCATAACCAGACCTCTTCACCCGAACCCTTCCATTAAAGTCTCCTAACATAATAATATTTTTATTTTCCTTACATTTTGTCAACACCATCCTTACCATGTCCCAAAACTGCTCTCGAATGTAAGCGGGCTTAGACATGTCTGGGGCGTACACCCCTAGCAGGAACAGCTTCTTTAAGCCCACTTTCATTCGTATTCATAGCAGTCTCGGGCTTACACATTCATACTCTTTCACACATTGACCCATTCTTTCTGAAAGGATGAAACCGACTCCCTGGCACGCCCGTTCGGTCTCGCCTACACCAGACCAATACGCGGTATACGTGCCATGTGCAGTGGCATCCTTTCCCTTTCGTTTCGTCTCATTCACACATAACACATCTATTCCTCTGTCATTCATCATTTCGCATACTTCATCCATCTTATCATTCATTCCTCCACATACATTCAGCGTAGCCAGACGGGTTTCCGCAATCCACTTTTCGCCCCTCCGGGAGACAGAACGTGACGGGTGGCGAACCTCGTCGCCGGTTTTTCTCCCGGAGATTCTTCGCACCCCTGCCCCATTTAAGGGGCGCCGGGAACTCGGGGCCATTTCTTTTATTTCCTGAGTCATTCGAACAAGGGGTGGTGGTAGATTTTACGCCACTACCATACGGCGAGGAGCCGAGTCTATTTTTTCGGCTTTGTCGCTCGTTTAGCACCACCCGGGGGACACGTGTAGGGTTGGCCTAAGGTTAGGTGGTCGGAGCCTACGGACGCGAGCGACTCATCCCCCTTATATGATCCCCCCATATAATGAAAGTAGCCTAGTATATAACCTTATAATATAGCTGATATTATAAGGTTATATACTTAGGCTACTTTCATTTTTGAAAAAGAATGAAAAGTTATCCCTTACATACAAATTAATACTTAAAAATCACTCACATCGAAACAGTCTTTACATATAAACCGGAATTTTGCAGAGTTGTGGCTCAAAGACCGAAGTACAAACGATGCAAATACATTTCAAACCAATGAAATTTTACCAATTTTAATATTATTCATGTTTTTTATTTAAGCCATACGACGAAATATAATAATAAATAACCGTTATGAAACAAATAAAATATTTTCTTGCTAAACGCACTTTTTGTAATAATAAACTCTAAACTCTAAATCGATCGAGCAGTATTTTGTTAAACATGTAAATTGCACTCTTGCAAAGCCGGGGCGGGTTGGTACTAATCAATAACAGTAATTTTCTAACAATAATAATTTTCCACACACTCAGCAGCGCAGGAAGATACTGAATTAAGTGAATATCAAATGAATTATGTGAATATCGAATTATTAAAATATAATTCACGTTCATATAAACTCTGCAAACCCCTGCTTCAAGGAAATTGCAGTACATGGGACATAACTTCGCTTAAAACCTTAGTGGAAGTGGCAAACATTAAATTGCTACTACTAGTAGTACTGCTATTACTACAACTGTATATCACAAGCTCACTGCTGAACATAGGCTACCCCCATAGATTGCTACAAGTTCAGTCCTGTGCCACCCGCAGCAATGACTAAAATGACTTCTTGCGTGTTTATCGGGTCGTCACTTAATCCAACGAAGGCTGGCCTAACACAAGGCTGCCTCTCGAGTACCTTTATACCCGTGATACCAGGGTAAGAATATTCCCTACTCCATATCATCGGTGGACAGGTCGGGTGTCGATTGACAGCAGTATCTTCTCGATAACAGCTCAGTATGGCGTTACGTGGTCACTACGGCATATATTACCGCACCATTAGCGTTGTAACTATGGTTCATATACTTTTGATTATAATAAAACGACTGTCATTGTAATAGAAATAATTTTTTTTTTGGTTTTGATTGATTGATTGATATATCCCCTCTATAAGAACTCTTTCACGCATATGGGACACATTTGTCCCCACTTAATTTTTACGATTTACAGTAATACTGGCCGAGTTAAACCTTTTTTTAAATTTGTATTATTAAATTTTATAGCACCTTTTCGCGTTTGCGCGCTGGCAACAACAACAACAGCTGGCTGGTAAGTAAAGACATCATCTGTCAAAAAAGTTAGTGCCGCGAAAAGTGACATATTTGTCAGAAGGACGTGAACATTAAAAAATATTTTTTTATTAAATATCTACTTTTTACCACAGTTTCTTCTCAGAATTATATTCACTGGTAAGTATAATTACTGTTTTGGTACATATTTTTGGTTTTCTTTGTAAAAATAAGGCGTACTATGTAAAAAATGTAAAGGGACGCGGGTGTCCCTATATGCATCAAGGGAGGCTGGCTTCAAGCGGGTAATATTTTTTGCTATACTGTTTTGTTTTGTTTATTATTCTTATTTTGTATATTCTATTTGGTTACAGACCATGTCTTCCAATCGACGTAGAGAGTTTTCATTGCGGCAAGACGAAATTATAGAATTCTTGATGGCTGACTACAGCGATGATGAGGAGGGTTTAGTCCTTGATGAAGAGGATCAAACTTTTTTAGAGCAAGATGTAGACACGGGTATTTCAATTGTTGAAATTGAACCGGGGTCAGCATCTCCAGAAGAGAATATTATTGAAAATCAACAGCCTAGTTCTAATGTCCTTTATTTCAACTGGCGAAAAAATTCATATTCTCCGCATAATTTTTGTGAAATGGAAGGGTATAACTTCGGCGAGGTGCACATTTTTGATCAAACATCTGATACGGAACTGAATCCTGTAAAAATCTTCAATGCGGCTACAGCCTTTGAAAAATTAGTAGAGGAGATTATTTTTCATGAATCCATACGCTACGCTCATCAAAATGGAAGATCTTTTACGTTGACTGCTGAAGAAGCCAAAGCTTTCTTCGGCATGAACTTTGTGATGGGGTATCATTGTTTACCTACATTCAGACATGGGAGTTCCTTATATTGCTAATGTGATGCCTATAAACCGCTTTGAAGAAATACGTATGAACTTGCATTTTAGTGACAATTCTAATGAACCTAATAGAACCGATCCGTCTTATGATAGAGCATTCAAAATACGACCTGTTATAGATAATTTCAACCATGCTTTTCAAAGAGCTATGGCTAACACCAAAACCCAGGCAATAGACGAACACATGATCAAGTTCAAGGGGCATAACATAATGAGGCAATACGTAAAAAATAAACCAATAAAATGGGGGTTCAAGATGTGATGTAGGGCATGCCCTTCCACTGGCTATTTATTTCAGTTTGATTTGTATACTGGGAAGAAAAGAGGTGGCACTGAAACGGGATTGGGTGAATCGGTTGTCTTGCAATTGTCTGAAAGCTTACAGGGCATAGGGGTGTGAAATATACTTTGATAATTTTTTCATTTCTCCTAATCTTCAGTATACACTGATGAATAAGAATATAAAAGCGTGTGGAACAGTGCGCTCAAACAGGAAAAATGTACCGAAAAATATGCCAACAGATAAAAATATGAATCGTGGAGATATTTTTGCAGCCAGCAGCAATGGACTATCTTTCATAAAATGGATGGATAACAAAGCCGTGTTTCTGCTAACAAATTTTTTATCACCCATACCTACGACGATAGTCAAGAAGCGTGTTTCTGGTAGTGCTGAAAAGGTGAATGTAATTTGCCCTGAAGCTGTAATAAAATATAATAAACATATGGGAGGGGTCGATCTGATGGACCAGAAAAAAGTATACTATGAAGTGAATCGAAAAGCAAAAATAAAATACTACTTAAAGTTGTTTTTTGACTTACTAGATATTGCGATGAATAATTCATATGTGATTTATTGCAAGCTGCATGAAGCAAAACGTATTGAAGGAACTCTGCTTACGAGCCTAGAATTTCGCCAAGTAGTAGCTCGGTCACTTATTGGTAGCTTTTCGTCTCGACAAAGATCTTTGTCGTCAGTTGTTATGACGAAAAAGCGAATTTCTTATACATAGAAGCGCGGTACACCTTCACACGTAATGGTAAAAGTAAGTAACAGAAAAAGATGCGTACAGTGTGCTAAAAGCCGTATAGAGAATCGCACAAATAACACTTGCTCTACATGCAACGTTCATTTATGTTTTACTACAGACCGCAACTGCTTTGTAGAGTACCACTAAGTTTTATTTTTGTTTTATAAATAATTTTTACAATAAATAATTTGTACTTTATATCATAGTTTGTGTTTATTTCACAATAAAATCATTCTAGTATTTTTTGTCCGTACATAAGAAAAATGTACCTTAACGCATATTGGGACACTTATGTCCCCTTCTCAAAAACATGGAAATATACATAAATATGGTTTTATTTGTACGTTTTTAATTAAATTAGACCTAAATAAATAGACATAAAAAAAAAATCATTTTAACTATCTTAGAATAGTTATAAGCTTGTAAGGGTTAAATTATAACAATGCCCAAAACTGTCTTTAATAAAGTACGTTAATATCATAACGTTAATTTTGTACCGATAAGTTCCATCCAACTTATAAATTACACTGCAGCAACCACAATATTTATAGTCTATTGATATTTGGAAATAAAAATTAATGTGTTAATAAACTAAAGGCGACAATTTAGTTGTTATTAGTTATTTAAAATTCCGCATAACCTATGTGTTGGGAGGAGATTGTAATTGTGTAAGACAGATTTTGAAATATTTCAACGTTTTTCTTCTAAATTTATCGGTAAGGTTTCTCATGATATTTTTGTATATTTTTGATATCTTTCTGGAACAATTATTACCCTTCTCAATATAGCTGTATATGATAGTTAAAACAGTCACCTCAATACATTACCTCATTTCGTCCCAAGAATGTCGTAAGAGATGATTATGAAAAATGACAGAAAGATCTTTAGATGGCAACCTAGCGACAGCCCGCAAGAGTGGTGAGTTTTATTATTGATAGGAAAGAAAATTCTTTCTTTTCTTATAAAAAAATATTTATTATCTTTATTATATACAATTCTCTTGTCCGTGTGTAACTAACACCCTCCTAAAAAGGCTTTACGGATTTTGATTAAATTTTGTGTGTGTGGTTAAGTTGATTAGAGAATAGCTTAGATTCACAATTGGACCGGGTGGAGCTATTACCGGGATCCAGAAATCATATAAATTAAGTGTGTTAATTCATCAACATTCGATTATGCATTTACTATGTCAAAATTTACCACTATTACTGATTTAAATCAAAAGTTCTAAAATACATTTATATTCTAATCTATCGTTTATTATTACGTTTTTCCGATCAATGCAAATCCTTGGATCATCTATCTCAATGAAGAAGAAATAAGCTCAATGCTATCCTTAGCTCTTTACATCGGCTTTGAAAGGGAGTACTTAAGTTATATGGCACACACTTTTCCATCACTTTGATTTTATTTTCAAAAGCACTAACAAAAATTAGTTCTCAGAAAAACACTACATTAATAAATGAAAAGGAACATCCCTTCTCTAGCTGGGGACTACAACTAAAAAGGAATAAGTAGTTATTTTTGTTTATGTAATTATCAACATTACCACAACTCGAGGTTGAACGTAGTGGGTATTAGATTGCCAGAAATAACGACAAAAAAACATGCATCTTTTAGAATAATACCAACGCCAAATGAATAACTAATATAAGATCACCTATATAACTATACTATAATATTTATATCCCAAACGAAATACTAAATCTTATGACGAATATTGTTGATTAAATTTTAAACATTCTTAATAAATTAAATCCAACCACGATTCCAAACAGTGTTACACAATTGCACTGCTGTTCCATTTTGGATATAGATCATGATGTGTACAATTTTAAATAACAGTCAAATTACTACTTTAAAAGTCAGATGTTAGAGACCGCCTTCTGTCGTGTTTTGTATGGAATACTCCGCAAAAGTGACTGATACTACAGTTAATGGATTAAACTAAATATACCGAAATATCAACGGAATAGAATAATAAACCGAAATATCGCCGGATTTCTACACTCACCACATTAAACACTATACTACTTTTTTTACGTTGGTATTCTGTGAGAGCGTGATTCTTCCCAGGTCAAGTTAACCCATTCGTGCTTCAGTCATAATTCAGCAATAGCAAGGCGCAACCACGAATAATATTTTCGATATTAGAATTCGTCATACTATATTGAGATGGAGCAAAATATGGTGTGATAGAGACATCATGTTAAAAAACGCTCGAAAGCTTAGCAAACTACCCTTTTATCATCATTTTATCATCAGCTCGCAAGCTGTTAGCGCAGGATGTAGACTCCCTACAATAGTTAAAAGTTAAAGCTACAGCCTATATACATCACTCTGGTGGGCACAGGCCTCAACTTGTTTCTAAGCGGGTTTTAAGGCAAGGAAATGTCCGCCGCGCTGCGCTGTCACAATGCGTGTCGGCGAAATTCACATATTTTTGGAATAGTTTTCTTTTTGTTTTTCAGACATGTTGGGTCATTATTCATAATACTTAGATATTTATATATTAGTGCTGAACAAACCTGGTTCTTTGGGTTTAATTTTAAAAGAAGGGGAGAGAATAAATTCCGTAAAATTGTTTTATATATTATAGTATTCGTACAAAATTAATTTTGTGTTGGTACGTGACAGGCGCATTGCACACACCATTTGACAACAAATCATATGGTAAAATGTGTGACACGGAACTGTATCGTTTATCAAGTAGCATGTAACAATCCCTTGCAACGACTATAACACTAGCGATAAATTGTTTTGGTGTTGGAACGGAATAATCAGTTACATTTAATTTCTAATATAAATACCATATTATACTTTTTGCTATAAGCATAAAAAGCGAGTACACAGTCCACTTGAAGGTGAACGAATGCTGCGGCCTATAGACATCTAAATCTTTAGACGCGCCAGGAATCGCTTTCTGTCCTTTTCTTATATAGTCTATTTTACTCCGGGAATTGCGTGTCATAACTTTGTTGTGTCAAGTTGAGAGTGCACGCTGTTGTCGCCGCCGCACGCCCGAGGAACCGCTCTTTATGCCGAACTCGTAGTTTTACGGGAAGTGCCGTGTTCTTCCGTCACTGTACGCAAGACCCTTTCACATCACCCCGCAAGTGTACTGAAGAATATCGCAACGCAGCTGTTGAAGTATGGAGCGACCCGTCGCATCGCATCCGAAGACACCACAAGTGTGTTCCGTCCCTTAGCCAGGCCCAGCGATTTTTTTCGGGTGTTGAGTTTGGTAGATTATAGGGATATAAACAGAAAAAATCTGGGTTATTTTTCAGGAATAGTTCCTATTCCTGTGGTTTTTATTTATTTATTTAACTTCATATACACATTAGATGTATATAGGCGAACTTAATGTCTGAGGCATTATCTACCAGTCTACCTTAGAGTAGTGCAGATAAAAGAGGTAGTATATATGTAAGAGTATATACATATATATACTCTTACATATATACTCATACATATATAAGTGTATAGATATGTACATATATAAACATTATATCACCGCTGCCCATTTCTCATTAATAATATAATCTGTATGTTACCAGTGTCCAGTAAGTATAACTATTAAGGGTTGGACTATATCAGTGCAAATTATTCCTACCTAGAAAAATGTTTATTTTTATATTATTGATGATATTTATCGAACAAACAATAATGTGCAAAATATGTCAAATTCAGAATCTGACATATTTTGCACATTATTTTAGATCTATTTTAGATCTTGTACTGCAGTATCTGTATCTTTTTCTGGTGCCCTCGCATAGCATATTAAGATCAATATTATTGAGTCTAATGTAATATGTAATTGAGACATATTTCAAGAAACATTTGTTAAGACTTCTATAATAAGGTTAGCATTCATTTTTATTGATGTCGTAGGAGTAACCCTCCTTCAAGAATATACCTGAAACCTCTTCCACCTCTAGTGATTTATAACCAAATGTTCAGAAG